AGCTCACACTTCCGAAGCTACTGACTCACATGGGCCTGTATATTGCAGGGGCCCAGATGCCACACATCTGGCGGTCGGCTTGGGTTGGCCACTGGATTGAAGACAGAAGTCTGGGATGATTCCCAAATGTCTAGATCTGGTGACAGGGAGATATGGCAGGGTGAGCCTGAGGAGAAAAAGCTGGATTAGGAGCTGCTGAACCTGGAATCCCTGCGGGTCACGCCAACAGAGAGACAGGCAGTAGAAGGTTGGCCCTGTCTGTCTGTGGCTCTGGGTAACATCATCCAAAGAGGGTGAGAGGCAGTGAAAAGAGGCTCAAGGCTGATCCCATCTCACTTTAAAACAAAAAATCCTAACTTCTTACCCTGCCCTCCTACGCAGTCTGTGGTTTTCTGCCTCTTCTCCTCTCACCGCACTCTGCCACACTGGCCTCTTTTCTGTACCTTAAACTTGCCAGGTTGGTTCCCGCCTTTGCACTTGCTCTTCTGTCTGCGAGGAACTCTTCCCCAGATCCTGGGGGAGGTGCGGCTCCTCCTCTCTCAGGCAGGGCCAGCTGCATGCGCGTGCCGCCTGCACCGCTCACCCAGAAGGGCTCTGTAGTTGGTTTAAGCTTCTGCTGTTGACATCTTGAAATTCTTAATAATTTTGAACACTGGGCCTGCATTTTCATTTTGTGCTGGGCCCTGCAAATCAGGTAGCTAGTTCTGCTTTCAGGGACGATATTGGAAGTCCTCTGCTCAGGGAGGCCTCTCTTGGCCAACTATTCTAAATAAATCCCTCCCCTGCTAAGTTACTCACTAGCACATTGCTCCCATTTAATTTTCTTCATAACAGTTTTCATTCTTTCATACATTCTCACTGACGTACTCAGTTGTGTGTTGTCTAGTTCCCTCCCGTCGAATGCAATGTGAACACTCAGAGAGCGGGGACCACTGTGTCCTCAGTGTGTGACACATAACAGACACCTGATACATTTGTTGACTATTCTGAGAGCAAAAATTGTTGGAAGCAGGACAGCCACTATGCTGGGCATAGAGGAAATTTAGAATGTATTTGATACTGATATACCTCCTGGTCAATAATTAAATGTGTGTGTTGCTGATTTAAACCGATAAATTCTGGTTTTATAATGAGGTTAAGTGGAATATAATTTCCTCATATTATATTCAAACTTTGATCTTTTCCATGAAAGATTTTGAAGTCTGGATTCAATGTCTACTTTTGATACCTGTGTTATATGAGCCTAAAATAATAATTTTAGTTTAGTCTGAATTTTTTAAAGAGGTTATTGGTCTACCTTCCAACTACATTGTACTGTATGGCTCAATAACACATTTTCCTTTGTATGAACCAGTTTGACCTGCTCAGCAGCTCTACCCCAGAGATAAGGTAGCTGTAATTTCTCGTTTTACAGATCCCTTCAACTCAGTGCACTCCAGCTATGTGGAAGCTTGGCGAGAATAAGTCAGTGATAATCACAGAACTTGAGAGCTGAGAGTTACAGTTGAGATTATTTCTTTCAACACTCTCATTTTTAGATGAGGACACTGAGGTCTGAGTACACAGTACAATGAGATGACAGTGTGGTAGGGATTTTGCTGGAACTTGATCCCTTAGAGCAGTGATCTTTCTACTCTGCCATTGGACCTTTCTAGCAAGTGAGTTATCCAACTTTTGTCTGCAACGGGGGCAATTTTTAAGTGAGGATTTACACTCTACTTCTAAAATTTTGCTTATTGTTGTAAATCATCTCCTTTATTAAATGAATTGCTGAATGAGTGAGGATAAGGAAAGAAGGAATAAAAGAAGGAAGGGAGGAGGAATGGAGGGAGGGAAGGAGGGAGGGAGAGACGGAATGTCTGATGAAATGAATTACTATTATAATCTACATGAATAATTTGTTTAGATCTTTATGTGTTTGTCTTTCTTTTTGCTTCTTGTATGCACACCCTCCTCGACCTTTTCCCCCCATGGGCTGGGGGACGAGGACTGCCTCTTGAGACTGTGGAGGGACTTTCACCAGAGTAATGCTTGTGGCCTCTCAACCTTCCATTTCTCACCCTACGAAGCAGAAATATTATTTGATTCATATTATCAGTCCGTGGATCTCAGTTATACAGAACTCAATAGGGATTTGCTCCCTTTCCCTATCTTTCTTTTTTTAAATTTTTTTTTCTTTTTTTCTGGTCAAGTGAAGCAGTGGGAGTGGAGAAGGAACAAAGGAATCTGTAACTGGTTGTGATCAATTAGTGTAAACACCACTGCACTCAGACCAACCTTTGCCTCCCTTTCTGACCTTACCGGTGCAAGATAGCAAAAGCTAACTTGTCTACAGGTCACGTGCAGGACTCCTGGGTTGCACGACTGCAGGGACCACTGACGTGGAGTTGGCCCCACATAGCACACAGCAGGAGCAGGCTCCTGGTCTGCTCCCAGCCACGTGCCCAATGGGAACCCTAGACGTTGCCTGACTATGCCAGTGGCAGGGTGGGCGAATCTAACTCAGAGGCGACATACTAGTGAGTCTGTTATGGTCACACATCTAAGCCACTCTGTCCAAGCCTGAGCTTAGCAACAATAAACTTGACATTTTGAAGTCCATCTGTCTGACTCCTCTATTTCTCAGTTGATACCACAGGCATCCTCTGCCATCTTTCTTAATTAAGATGTCCTTGCTTCTAGGTCTCCTTAATTACCCACCAGCTATCTATAATATTTTATAACCCACTTAAATCTTGAGCATAATGATGTCATAATTATGGAAGTGACCAGATTTGCATGAAGTATTGCTTATTCTTAAGAACAAAATGGCAACCGTGAAAACAGATGAAGTAATTAGAGGAAGAATCTTTTTGGAAGCTTCAGGACATTTTAAAAGCAATTAGGACTAGTCAGCAATAAAGTTCTGTTCTCAGAAATTGCACTTAAAGGAGGAACATGGATTAAAGAAAAAAATCTGCTACCAGAGGGTGAGCCACTGGACTTTCTAAAAACTGGTTCTATTTTCAATGAAATTTGGGTGTGTTGAAAATGAATGTGCAGATGGCAACCATGGCTTCAAACAGATCCCAACTTGGACAGCAGCACACTAATGAGCAAGGGTGCATGGAGTCAGAGGAGACCTGGACGATTTCTTATGACTGACTTCCAGAACTCTGCTCTTTTCTTCTTGACAAGAGCAGCATACCCAAGATGCTGCTTCCTCCACTGACCAACCAGTCATTTCGCAGGATAGGACACATCTGTTTAGAGGTGTGGATTGTAGTTGCTCAAAGGCGACATTAGGCTATTTAAAATAATAATAGTTCAAGTTTTGCTTTGAGTCTAAGCAAAACAGCTCAGAGGTTTCCAACTAAAACAGAGAAGTCGTGGGTAAAGAAGACAGCTGAAATCGGGTGTGGGCTGAACCTTGAGTGTGTGGCCTGTAATATTGATTGGCTAATCTCTCAAAACTTTCAAACAGGGCCCAGGATGATCTCGAAACTTCAGTAACCAGAAAGACCCATCACTGTAGATTCTAGAGCTATTGTGACTAACAGCTCTCCAAGTTGTTTTTATTTATT